GTCAACTAACTAAGAATTTACTAGGGTAAGAACACAATGCCAGAAATGAAATTGTCTTTGTTTATACCTCACTGAATTATTAATTAGTTGATAACTAAATCTTACCAGGCRCTAATTTGTTAAGAATTGTTTCACACTTATGTGGCTTGCACTCTATTCTAAAGAGCWCCTAACTCAAAATACCGTMTAGCCCTGCACCACCCTTAATTGACCGTAACGCACGTCAATTAGTCTGCAAAAGCATTTAAAGGACACCAGYCATGAAACCYGYCAAAATCACTWCTAGGTGYCCGCTGAACTTTAYAACTTTCCATCATTTGAAACAAAAAGGCAGACTTATTTTACCGTTCAATGACCGTTCCAGTCTTCACTATATCTATATTACGCTTTCTAGCTTTTACTATACTAGAGTGAAGTCTCTAAACCCGTGAAAGAAAATTTGACTTATCAAGTGTGATAGTTAAGTAGACACAAAAGAAAACAATGGAATTATAGCATATTAAGCTGTATTATCGCAAAATTGGGTTTTATGTCTGTAAGTGCTTGAAATCTTCATGCTTTATAGATGTTTACTGTGCTAGACTAGAAAAACTAGAAGAAAAAAACAACAAAGAAAAACAAAAAATCAATTAACACAAATTAAAAAACAMCAACAAAGAAACAAAAACTAAAKAAATTAAAAAACAAAGGAATTTGCTTAATTTAGTAGAATTTAGTAATAAAGTTTCCASAGTTTTAGCGTTTGCACTGTAATACTACGATAAATAAAATAATTTACATGACTTCTGAAATAGATAATATCAAATAACAAAATACTAAAAAAAGATGAAATTCCTTTATAGAGTGCTCGCACTAAATGCGTGAAATATAAATACTACAAAATAGGTGCTAATTATACAAATTCCTTTGTTTCCTATTGTATAATCAACACAATTATTTAGTAGTAATTAGTACTATTTGTTTCACGCTTTAAGTGCGAGCACTCTAAATAAGGTTCTTCGATTTTGATTTAAAGTTTTCTATATTTGTTGTAGTAAGTATGGATATCGTATGGATATCGTATGGATATCTTTTTTTGTTTTAGTTTTTTTGTTTATTGAAATAAAAAGTATAAAAAAAGTATGGTTTATTCCACAATTTTACTGCTGTGATTGTCGACAATCATTTCCTAACGTTATCAAGGTACGCTGAAACGATGAAAAAAAAAAACAAAACAAAAAACGTTTTCGATAATAAATCAAGTCTTACGAATACGTAGCTAACCGGTAAATATTACTTACACAAACCCTTGCTGAAGACATAGTAGACTTTTCCCTTCGGCCATAACCATTTGTCTTTGATGGCATCACGTCGTGCGCGGCCATTTTTGATCTGGTCATAAAACTCTTTTTGYTCTGGAGTCATAATCATATCTTCTACTTGTTCCAGTCGTTCCTGGGCTGGTTTTGCTGTTGAAATGGTCGTAAAWCAACTCCAWAAMATTGATATTTTGAAGTTAAGCGTAAGGACTTCAAGGCATGCGATTAAACTTTCGTGAAGATATCAATATATAGCTACGAAGGGATAAGACTTTTATAGATTTCTACTTCAAATTGATGATCAATTCGTTAGAGTGAATGTATTTAATCCACAGTGAAATCTGATACAAAATCAAAATTGCACAAATTTGTTCTATTAGAATTAGGAACTATATTATAAAGTTAACATCATTTGAATCAACATTCTTCTTCCTGACTCAGTGAACACGTTTTTTTTATAATTTGTACGAAATTCTACAAAGAGGTTAGTAAAACTTTACAGATTAAGTGCGTTTTCACTCTATCATAAACATTTTTTTTTCGAAAGTATACAAACTTACCTTCAATAAAGCAAACAAAAGCACCAAGAAGAAACGCAAATATTGTAAACCTCATATTTTGAGGATTTCAACAACAATCAGCTAAGTTAAACTGTACTAAAAAACAGGAACTGTTAATGAGTAATGATAAGTTTTTTTTTTATACTTTTACCACTGTATTGTCACCTAAGGAGTTGTTTGCACTTAGTTGATAAGCTAASAGAGTCCAAATAAACTTCAGTCAAAGATTCATTCAATTTTATACTAATTGGCACTGATGCAGGTCACTACGCAAAGACCCACCCATTTTTTAAATGCTTGAAAGATATAAAGCTATACCTAAAGCAAAATGAAAAGACTGTGCATCTACATTTGCACGCTCAAAGAAACTGATAAAATACGTTGAACTATAGATTTTAAAATTGGCGTTAAAGTTTATGGGTCTTTCAAGATTTCAATATCTTTATAGAAAGTACATGTTTAGCCCTGAGGCAGAAAACATAAATAAGATACATGCAACGCCCTGCAGTCGTACCTTTTTTACGTAAGAAAAAAGAAAGAAAAAACGTTATAACTTACTGGTATTATTTATAATGCATATATTGTTATTACAATATTATGTGACGGATATCGTTTGTTAACTTTGTTGTTTGTTTTCATTTACTTAAAGATCGAGTTTCCTTTGTTAATTGCCTTCTGGTAGGTGCAACAGTTTCCGCCCTTCAACTGGTGGAACTTATGGAACACCATAAGTAAACCGCGCCAAAGCCTTTTCAATTAATTTCTTTCACTGAAAATATATTGGTGTTTCTTCGAAAAATTCTTAAAAAAAGACAATACACATGTCTATTTATTTCATTCATATTTTAATTTATTAGTTCTCCACTAAAAGTGCTGAATTAAATCTTTCATATGAATATGGATTTGAATGAGACTGGCTCACTATTGAATATAAACTTTAGTTTTACATAGAAATATAGATATAGATTTTCCAGCGCAAAATATTTTCCAGAGAAACAAAAGAAAGAAACAAAAGAAAGCACGAGAAAATGTTGTGTATTTTTTTTTGCACTCTATTGTTTTTTTGTTTTTTTAAACTTTACTTTAGTTTTACATAGAGAGTATAGATATATATTTTCTAGCGAAAAATCTTTTCCAGAAACAAGAGAAAGCACGAGAAAATGTTGTGATAACGACACTATAGTTGTCTTTTTTTGAACTCTAAACCTGTTGTAAAATAGGTCAGTTGCTATATCACCTATAAACTTGAAAAGGAGTATCTCGTAATAAATATTTTAAATGATGTAGATAATCATATCCTTTTAATTTGTTTTGTTATTATAGTAACATTATCATGCTTCCTCATCTCCTGGTTTTGGTCCTTCTGTTTCTTCTGAAAAAGACAATTATCAATATCATATTATCATTGACAATTGACAATAAATATATGGAATGAATTAGCTTTATGTTTAGTAGTTAGAATCACGATATCTTCACTTTTACTAGATACATTTAAAATATCACAGCGATGGCACAGAGGATATTACATGGGCACTAGGAGATACGGAATTTATCTTGGACTTGAAAAGACTCTCATTCTAATTCGTAGCAACCATGTTATATTCTGTTTATCATATAAAAGAACAAACTTTGATAAACATAATTTCACAATGTTCGAATGATATATGACATCTGTTTTAGCGAGAAAAGAGCGCAAATCTTTTACCATTTACCATTTTGCAAATGCAGACTTTGTTTTGCAAATGACTACATAAGACGGCAACCCGCGCTTAAAATCATTTATTATTACTTACTGTTAAACTCTTCGTCTTCACCTGGTGATGGAACATAGTCTGGTAGTTCGCTTCGACCTTTACCTGCAAAGGGCATAAAACTATAAATAACTGTGTAACTGCGCTACTTTAAGATTAGCCTGCATAGCCAGGCGTTTCTAGCTGCTCGGAGATCTCTCGGCTAGAATTTGCTATTATATATATATATATATGATACAGCTGTTTGCAATAATTCTGACCCCCCTACACTAACATTCATATATATCAAAATAGCCTTAGAAATTATGGGATACCATTGCTGATATTTTTATTAGAAAGTACTCATTCTGGACAACTCAAAAAATATATCAGTGATGATATCCCATAATATTAAAGGTCAATTTGATATATATGAAATATGGCAGAGGGGGTCAGAATTATTGCAAACAGCTGTATATAATAGTATATTGTGTTTGCTGAAACAACGATCGAAAGTTAGGATGGTAGTCGTGCTTACAGCTCTAAAACTAAAAAAATGCAATAACTCTCAATCTGACCAGTATGTGAAAACCAACAGGGGCGTCTCCAGTGGAGGGTCATAGGGTGCCTGTGATGCCCACCCCTATTTCAAGCCAAAATTGCGAGAAAACCATACATTGATATGACATCATATTGATGACGTCATAGTGACAATTTGGTATGTGAAGACCCTCCAAATGAAAATTCTGGATACGCCCCTGAACCACGACCACTATTCTTCTCAAGGTGCTTTGATAACATGCTTATAAGACTTATAAGAACTTAACAGCCAAACATTTTCTTATTGGTATTTGAAGAAACGTTATACGGCGTACTTTTTTTCTTGTTTTTCTTTCTTTTTTTTGCACGAGTAAATCCGTTTGGCTAAACCATAATGGCTTTGATTAAGATACTTCCATTTTTTCTTGTTTGGAATAAATCCTGTCCCCTCCCYATTCCTCGCAGCCGTTTTCGTTTTATGCTCTATGTTTCTCTCACCACAAACATTTGTGAGAAGAAAGCATACACAATTAAGGCATTTTGTGTACATAAAATCTAAATTCCGTCTATTTTTAAAGTATCTCCCTACCGTTACATTTGTACATGTCTTTTATTTGRGCGATGTCTCCGTCACTCAATCCGTCTCTTCCACCAAATTTAGCCCCCTTTTTCTTGGGCTTCATAACAGGTGATTTCCTGTCTTTAGCGCCTTGCCAAGGCGAATAATGCATAATGCTCTTGTAGTCGTAATTATGACCACGAGAATCCACCCACTTCTTATCAACCTTTTTGAATTGGTCTTTGATCCATTTTCCTGAAAAAAATAAAAAAATAAAAAAATAAAATAAAAAATAATAATGATAATGAAAAAATACCGATATTGATTTTTAGCTCGAAGATTACTTCAGAAATAAACGAGTTCTCGAAGATAGTTGAATCTGTCACTCACTCGCTCTCAGCTTTCCTGTTAACTGTGATGATCATTGCTGCAATCTTATGCAAAATTATGTGAAACACCGTCTATGATTGTGGTACTACAACCTCCCCTCCCCTTTTACAATGTTGTTCGTAACTGGATTATATTGCATAAGATTGTACCTTTATCTTGTAATAGTCCTGAGGGTGGTCTCATATATAAGTATTTTTTATTTCATTAATTTTAGCGATACTTTCTGGGTTTAGTCGTTTATAATTGAATTCGAAAGAAGTTGTGTCATCGTGGGGTGTCAAAACGATCATATCAAAATATTATGAGGCAATCAAACATCTTTCTTCGCATAGAATCGTATATGAATCTGTAAAAAGGATATTAAATACCTGGTACCATATTTTGCCATAGAACTTGTATATGCCGGTCTCGGTCAGGACGCGATTGCTCATGAAAGAATCCAACTGTGTGTCCAATTTCGTGTATTGTGGAGCCCAGTGAGCAAGGTCTATCAATGAATAACATAAATMAATCATATCAAACATATTACATAAACCCGCGAAACAAAACAGCTAAAGGGTTGTACAGGAGCGTGGAAAGACAAAGSAAAACGTGCAAATCAAAGGAAAGGGCATTTTGCGAAAGGSTATTTCACAGCTTAACAGCTTGAGTCTGTTAATTTTAATACTGTAAGATTTTGTGTAATATCATGATTGTTTTGAAATGTTCSCAAAACCCGAAACGGGAATATGAGTTTTTTCATTTATGGATTATAGAACATTAKTATGTGCATTAGTACTTGATCAGATCAAGACTTTTTTCAACTTGTAGTAGCTGATATCAGCCGTTGTTTTATCAACATCAAGCAGTTATGAAGTTTACTATAGCAGTTCGAATGAAGCTTACTTTTTTTGACTTCCGATTGAGATAAGTTGCTTTTCTTTCTTTGCATATCCAATTTGTGCACGGCAGTCCCTAGGGATAAGAGAAGGTCGTAATAAGAGTAAAGAATGTACAACATTTTAACGTATCTATATGTTGCCAACTACAAAAAGTACGTTCATTACAAAAGAATTGACTGATTTTGGAGGTTGGCTCCTCACTTCTCTYTTCYCCATCTTTCCTGAACTTCGCCCCCAAAAGAGGTTGAAAACAAKAATATACTGTTCATGGAAAGACGGTGCATTTTTTGGAAAGATTTACAAATCGGGGCGGGGCGTTGGAGGCAGGAGGAAGGCGCGGGGCAGGGGATGAATTCTAGTTACGGAACAAAATACTATTTTTCGGCCTCTTATCGCACAGGCAACCCAAGCAAAGTATTTGATTCAAAATTGCTTTTTAATAAAATACATTTTACCTTAATCTCATGTGTTGCTGATGTTATTCAACATTGCTGTGTGTGATTTTGAAGGGATTTAGAGCTATTTTTTWWAAAAATATCGCCATCAGTCATAAAAGACTACAAGGCTGGTTACAGAACTTCCACACCAATCGCCTTTGAAGACCGAAAAAAATATATTAAATCCATCTTTTGCCTCCAAAAKCCCCTCAGCGGCATGTCTCTAGGATCTTTCTATCCAGAATTGGGCAATATTTCAACGGACTTCAAATCCAACCGTGCCAAATCGTCATGTTTTTACGCTATTCTGACTCAATTTTTGAATCCGTTCAAGCATTCATCGACCTTGATGGACACCGTTCCTTCTGATTGGACGACAGTTACCATGGAATCAGTTCAAGTACTCCCGACTACTACGGGGAGTGTAGGAATTTGTACAACTGTCCACATCCCCAAAGGGCCCGCCAAGCTCGAGGCCAAACGTACACAGCTCAGGGAAAACTCGTTCGCGCGCTTTTTCGAAGTTTTCAACCGAATCCAGTTACGCTGCCAGGTTTATTTTCAGGAGCGATGCAAATGCAAAGTCTTTCAAGTGTTATCAAATTCCTACATTCTCCCCGTAGAGTACTTGAACTGATTGAACTGAAACCCCACCCCCTCATCGGGTCCCAAATACATAAATAAGATTCCTCGTTTTTCAACTTACCCGCCATACTTAAACTCGGCGTAAAACTTTCTCTTGGAGTTCTCCCGTATTTTGAAAAATTTCAAACAGGTTTTGCTCATCCAGTGTCTCATTGCTTTTATGGCGAGATTCTGACCAGCTTTATCTATAAACACACATCAAAACAGAAATCATTTAACAGTTGTAAGTATAACAAAGTTGGCATAYTAGACATCTCTCCAACCGAGCGCAGACCGTATAGTTCTTAGAAAAATGTAGTAAAATAGTGGAAACTAGGTTAAACTAGCACTGGAAAAAATCGCTCGCTTTAAAGGTTGTACATTTGATGTAAATATGATGTAAGTGTCCAAAATGATGTAAATTTGTTGTAAATCATAGTGTGAGCTGGGTCGGTGTTTCCAAAAAAAAAAAAAGATGTGAAATAAGGTGATTATTTTTACTGGAAAAAGTAGCTCACTGACCTTACGGACGTTCATTATCTTACTGACGAACAAAACGTCAGTAAGTTACTTCTCGTACTTTTTTACATAATTTCTGTTATCTTGCAACTGTTTCTTACAAAAATATAACTCATTTTGAGGCCCTGATCAGAATATATTTAAATATGCACTGTATTGTACAACCATATGTATTTTTGCTGTCCAATGTASCCTTTATCTATAGAAAATCTAGCTAGTTGACAAATATTGGCGTTGACCTCAGCTAGACCACCAGCTACCTGCGTGCCAATAACCTGTTCATGAATCTCGGTCAATTATCCTTTTGGTGTAATAATTATAAAGAGTGTTGTCTTATGTAAATAAAAATACATGAAACGTATACTACAAAAAATTAAGAGCTCAATTATGGAGAGATTTAGATCTTTATGCTTCGAAACTACGGAAATTTCATTATAAAATAGTGTCATATAGTGGCGAAAAAAAACATAAAAGAATTAGGAAAGTTTAGGCGATTTTTTCTGTAATGTAAGGAATGGAAATTTCTCATTTTTCGCCTTTCTTGTGCTTATCCGAAATCATGCTCTTGTCGTTGATCTATTGTCTGATTTAACATTATTAACGAAATTTTATAGTACATCGTGAAACAGTCCTTACTCAAATCTTTGTGGAAGCTGTAGTACACTACTCCTTTAGGCCAAAGCCATCTTTCCCTAATTGCAGCTCGTCGTACACGGCCTTTCTCGTTCAACTCGTGAAATTCTTTTTGTTGCAGTAGTTCCACTCGTTCCTGGTCATGGGCTGGTTTTGCTGGAAATACAATAGAAAAAGTACTTTTCATTGAACATTTCATGACCTGCAAACTAATGACAATGCAAGGCAAAAATTTATTCAAGCTTTTTAATCATCTTCTAAAGAGAAACATTGAAGATGGGATGAAAAATAAAGAAAAGGAATGAAATTTTAAAAGAAGAAGAAAGATTAGAAAAAAACTACAAAATGAACTATATTATGCTTAATCCAAATCGTGGTCAGTTACAATACGAGCTTACCTTCAGTAATGAAAAATATTACCCCAAGGAAAACCACAAATATTGCTAGCTTCATTTTCTGAAGTTCCTTTCAATCTATGTGTTAATTTTTGGCAGAAGAAAATCGTAATAATATGAACAATCGAAACACATAAAGACGTTCAGCTAGAATCTTGCGTAAAAACTGTTTCACTTTTATGTTTTTGATTTGTTCCTTTTTATCTTTACCTGGATATGGTTTAACCTGATCATAGAGAGAGAGGTCAAATATACCTGAAGTCAAAGGCCAACTCCATTTTATACTAACCGATTATTATTCAGGTCATTAGTCTAATTGACCCTCCCATCTTGTCGGCTTGCGCGGCGCCTTTGTTCTTGGTTGCAAAGCAGTTGTACACTACTGCTAGAACAAAGATTGTCATTTGATGACGAAGATGCCCAGCAGTAGAACAATAAGCATTGTCTGAAATAATCCGACAATTCTTTGTTTTTGTTGTCTCGATAAAGCACAGGCTTTGTTCTGACGGTAGTGAATAATGAAAAAGGAAACAGGTGGAAGGGGCAGGATTTCTAATTATTTTATACATTTTTACTTGCTGTAAAACAACATGTGTAAACCATCGAATTTGTTTTACAGATGGATGGATTGGACTTTTAAAATGACTTAAAAGACTCAGATTATCCAAATTAAAAACATGAATCTGTCCACATGGTCAAGAAAAGTAAGGTAAATTAAAAGTTTGTTTTTTTTCTCAATCAATCAATTTATTTCACATTTTGTGACAAATTATAACTAGTTAATTGCTTGGAGAGTATACATGTATATATGTGAGGAGAGCTTAAGAAACCCTCACGGGATTATACTAAAGCTCACCAATAGAGTTCAAACACTAAAACTGTGCAACATAAATACCACTAAATACTGCTAAATTATGCTAATTCTATTGTTTTCTATTGTTTAATTAACACCATTTTGTAGTAAATAGTGGAAAGTATTGCACACATTTAATGTTTGTACTCTATACTATGACAAATCAACTTATTTACATTTTACATTACATTTTTATTTATTTTATTTTTGTTATAATTGACATATCATTATTCCTCGACATCTCCTGGTTTTGGTCCTTCTGTTTCTTCTAAAAAAGACAATCATAACTCTTAATGTTAGTTGCAATAAATTATTGAATTATTGAATGAATTAGCTTTATGTTTTAGTAGTTGGAATTACGATTTCTTCACTTATTGAAGACAACTCAAAAAATATATCAGCGATGATATAATAGATTTAAAATATGACAAAGGGGGTTAAAATGATTGCAAATTGCTGTATATACATGTCTTCCTCTTTAACACATACATGTACCGTCAAATTAAGAAATTCTGGCTTATATAGAAAGGATATTACATGGGTGCGCGGAGATACGGTTTTTGTTTAAAGAGATATCCAACAGGAGAAGATAAATCTCCAAGTGGCTATGTAATATTCTGCTTATCATATAATTATGAAAGCAAATTATGTCGTATACCTTTTTATACTTCCTATATAGAGAGAAACCTCGAATGTTTTATTTTGATTAGTGTAAAACACAACTTTTTAAAAGAGAGAAAAATAGCTATTTCATAGATAATTATGAGATAAAGCTAACGATATCCAGAACTAATTTAAAAGTATTCCAATGATTTGTTATCTGTTTAAGCGAAAAAAGAGCAAAAAGCTCTTGAAATTACCCATTGTATACCCGATATATTGATATATGCTATACGAAAAGGGAAAAGGTGTTGGGTGCTTATCGTCTTTCATGGCAGCACGGGTGCTGAATTGTGGAAGACGCAGCTCGACGTGCTCTCAAGTCGTACTATATTACAGACACATATTACATACATTTACAGATAGGCGTGCTGCCGGCTAGGCGCTTCCTTTACATAGCAACGTTGACTGAATGCGGAGTACAGCAGATAGAAATGAGGGAGGAAAAACCGGAAATGATCCGGAAAAACCCTCAAAGCAAGGGAGAGAATGAAAGAAACTCAAATCACATATGGCGTCCCGACCAACAGGTCGGCCAGATATCTTTGCAAATGAGTATATAAGCCGGTCAACCTGTTCTCAAAATCATTTTTATTGGTGTTTTTTTTACATTCCTTTAGCCCATCTCTTTCCTGAAAATCAGACCGCTGCATTTTCACTTCTGATAAGAAGCGCTAGTAACTTACCGTTAATCTCTTCGTCTTCGCCTGGAGATGGAATGTAGTCTGGTAGTTTGCTTTGACCTTTACCTTTTTAGGACATAAGATAAAACTATAAACATCTCTAGTACGAAGACTTTGCGCTATTTTGAAGTAAAGCTTATGTTGAGGTGAGGATTTTCACCTCCATTTTGTTAGGGTAGGCAAAGTTCTGAGAGAAACATTAATTTCAAACGTTATATACTGCGAAAAGTAGTTAACTAGGCCTTTGAAAACTGGTCAGTTACAGCGAAAACCGTTGCATCCCGACTTCGACGTTCAAAAGAAATCGTTAGGATTTAGTTTTTTTTGCGACTTTGGGGCGGAGCTTGCTGGAAATCAGCCGATGGTTGAAAGAGTCTACCAAAAGACGTACGTGAAAAATGAAGTTTGTAAAGTCCTCACAAGTCGGTGATTATAGTACGTGAAAAATGAAGTTTGTAAAGTCCTCACAAGTCGGTAACTAAAGTATAAAAGAAAACCGTTCTACGTATTATGGCATCTATTAAGATGGCGATTTATTCTTGTTGGGCTCACAGTCCACTCCCTATTCCTCGCAGTCGTTTACGTTTCATGCTCCCTGCATTTTTTGGAAGGGGGAATACAGAATTGATGCATTTTGTGTAGATAAAATCTAAATTCCTAGGATTTGATTGTACTTCTATTTTTAAAGTATTTCCCTACCGTTACATTTGTACATGTCTTTTATTTGGGCGATGTCCCCGTCACTCAGTTCGTCTCTTCCACCAAATTTAGCCCCCTTTTTCTTGGGCTTCATAACAGGTGATTTCCTGTCTTTAGCGCCTTGCCAAGGCGAATAATGCATAATGCTCTTGTAGTCGTAGTTATGACCACGAGAATTCACCCACTTCTTATCAACCTTTTTGAATTGGTCTTTGACCCATTTTCCTAAAAAGATCAATGTTAGGTTTACTTCAGCAAGAAAACCACGAGTTGTTGAAGATAGTTGAATCTGTCACTCATTCACTTTTGGCTTTCCTGTTAACTGTTATCATTGCTAGCTTTGGCTTGTAATAGTCTTGTCAGCCGTCTTATTTAAGAATACGCCCAACAAGCAATACATGGAAAAGACAATTAAAGGAGGAGGGCTATTAAAGCAAAGAAGAGTACCTTCTTGGGCTTTCCAACAGAATGAAATGATCCTGGTATCATAGGCGAGATAGCATAGGAAAAGTCTCGTCATGACATTAATCAGTCCACTGACAAATTCCGAGATAAATCAAATATGGATAGACACTTAACATTCATCACAATCTTCGCATAAAATCGTGTATGAATCGGTAAAAAGGACATTTATTACCTGGTTTCATATTTTTCCATAGAACTTTTATATGCCGGTCTCGGTCAGGACGCGCCTGCTCGTGAAAGAATCCAACTGTGTGTCCAATTTCGTGTATTGTGGAGCCCAATGAGCAAGGTCTGTAATTGAATAACATAATGTGAAGTAGTAATTATTAGTTTATATTTACTAAGTGTCAATGAATAATTGTATCCAATAGTAAATTAAAAAATCGCTGAGCCAGAACAATTCATGAAAATAAAATAAAAAACAAAAGAAAACAAATGGGAATACACATTATTAAAAGCTACCTAATGAGAAGGAGGAATTTGTTAAAAAAATGTCCACCTCACAAGGAAAGTAATAAAAGAGAGTTTTAGATTCACGTTTACTGCAAACGCCAAACGTCAAATTGGTTTTTATGTTTGGTCTCAAAATTTCAAACAAACGTAAAAACACTTCGAAAGGAATAGTCATGCGCTTATGCACGAAAAAGTGATATATTTTATACACAATCGCGAAAGAACTGAGCGTTAATACAGAAAAACAGTGATCACGTGATCAGTTTTGACGTTTGGCGTTCGCCGTAAACGCGTATCTAGAACTCTCTAAAGAGTTCTTTGTTAAACGCAGGAACGATGAAAGATGTCGGGACAGGCTAGAACTTGGTTAGATGTAGGCTTCAATGCAAATCGAGCGCGGATAAGTGCATTCACATGAAACAAAATTGTGCAGTTGTGAAGTGTTTTGTGTATTGCCTTTTGCTTTCATTAATTGTTCTCGTTCAGTGATATCTGCTATTAGTAAAGAGACACTAAACTAATAGTTACTGTTTATTTTGATCTCATTTGACAGTACAAGTGAGTTGACTTAAATCTTATGCAAACATATTTCAAAAACCCGTGAAACAAAACAGCCAAAGGGTATTTCACAGGTTAACAAAACTGAGACTGTTTCATTTATAAAATGTAAGCTTTTGTGTAATATCATGATTATATGTTCGCAAAACCCTAAACGTGAGCATGACTATTTTTTTCATATTTCTCAAATATGAAACATAATTATGTGCATTAGTACTTGATCAGACCAAGACTTTTTACGACTTGGGCGGATCCAGGATCTTCCTCAGGGAGGGGTGCAGGGTTCTCAGGAGGGGGTGCATCCCACAATAATCATTACCATGAAGATACAAAATAAGGAAAGTACTGAAGGATATAGATATCAGGGGGGGGGGGGGGTTTGCGCACCTCCTGCACCCACCAGCTGGATCCGCCACTGCTTGTAGTGGCTGATCTCAGCCGTTGTTTTATCATCGTCAAGCAGTTATGAAGTTTACCAGCAGTTCGAAAGATGCTTACTTTTTTTTACTTCCGATTGAGATTAGCTGCTTGGTTTTCCTTGCATATCCAATTGCTGCACGGCAGTCCCTAGGGATAAGAGAAGGTCGTAAGAGTAAAGAACTTACAGAATTTAACACAGCATACCTCTGTTCCCTACTACTTTGTTCACTACAAAAGAGGGCAGGGGCTACGGGGGTTGGGGGAAGGGGGGGTCGGGTGGCAAGCGATAAAAGTAAGTTACAGATAAAAAAAAAACTCTTGTTTGTTCTTAACATTGGGACCACATCACTTGTAAAAAAAACCTCGTTTTCTTCAAACATCAAGGAAACACAGCTTATTGGGACAATACGATGCTTAGAAATAAGGATTCCACGCTCCTCAACTTACCCACCATACTTAAACTCGGCGTAAAACTTTCTCTTAGAATTCTTTCTTATTTTGTAAAATCTCAAACAAGTTTTTTTCATCCAGTGTCTCATTGCTTTCATGGCGAGGTTTTGACCAGCTTTATCTATAAACATTTGATCAAAAAAAAAAAAAAATCATTGAACAGTTGTAAATATAAAACGTTGGCATTTATATTACAGCTCAATGATAAATACGTGCGTTTTTCGTGCGTATTTCGTCGGTAAACCAGCCTGCTGTCTTAAAAGACTTTCTATTAATTTTTGCTATAATATAAAAGCAATACACGATAGCTTGAAGCGGGTTACTGGCTTGAGATGGGATCTCCCAGCCATCCCTCGCGGTTTATTTCGCCAGTAAACCGCTTCAAGCTATAGTTTATTACTTATGGACGCAGCCTGTCTTAGAAAAATATAGTAAAAATATTGGAAACTAGGTAAACTAGGTAACTAGCTGGTTCAGTGTTTCGAAAGGAACAGATCGGAAATAAAATATTTCTTCATCCATAAAAAGAAACTTTCTTTCGTTACCTCTCGTACTTTACAGTATAAAACTTAATATCTTATTTCACAACTGCTTCTTACAAAAGTGTTACTCATATTCAGATCTGGTCAAAATATGTTTAAATTTGCACTGTAGTGTAGTCATTTTTTGTTCAAAATATCTTTTCATCCATTGAAAATTTAGTTAATAAATATTGGTGTTGACCTCAGCTAGCTAGACCACCAGCCAATAACCTGCTCATCAATGTCGGTCAATTCTTTTGGTGTAATAATTATAACGAGCGCTGTTTCGACTATATACAAATGTATGAAAAACAATAAAGAGCTCAATTATAGAAAGATTAAAATCTAGTGTATCCCGGGAAATTACGAACATTTCATTACAAAATACTAAGTGTCATATTGAAGCAAAAAAGGAGATTTTAGGAGAACTTTTTCTGGAATGTGAGGGAAACAAAACCCTCATTGTTCGCCTCTTGGGCCTTATTATCCGAAAGCATGCTCTTGTTACTGATCTATTTCTTGAATAATTGCAATATATTTTAGCATTTGCACATCGGAGGCATCCACTAAGCAAAACATTACTTACTCAAATTTTTGTGAAAGCTGTAGTACACTTTTCCTTTGGGCCAAAGCCATCTTTCTTTGATAGCAGCTCGTCGTACACGGCCATTTTTGTTCTCCCTGTAAAATTCTTTTTGTTCTAGTTGTTCTAGTCTTTCTTGGTCATGGGCTGGTTTTGCTGGAAATACAATGTGAAAAGTACTTTTAACATTTCAAGACTGCAAACTAATGACAATTTAAGTCACAATTTCAAATTCAAAATGGAAAGAAAAATAATGAAAAGTAAAGGGAATTTTGAATGAAAAAAAGAAATTAGAAAAAAACCCTGAAAGGAACTATTTTTGCTTAATCCACATCGCGGATGTGAACTTACCTTGAATAAAGCAAAGTAATGCCCCAAGGAAAACCAGAAATATTGCAAGCTTCATTTTCCGAAATTGCTTTGAATCTGTTAATTTTCTGCAGAGAGAATTCGTAATAAAATGACTTGGCAACATACAACGTTCAACTAGAATGTTGTCGTAAAAACTGTTTCACTWTTATGTTTTTGTTTGTTAGTTATTTATCCTTACCTGAAAACTATGGTTTAACTTGATATAAGATGAGAGAGAGGTCAAATATACCTGAAGTCAAAGGCCAACTCCATTTTATAYTAACCGATTATGATTCAGGTCATTAGTCTAAGTGAGCCTCCCATCTTGTCGGCTTGTGCGGCGTCTTTGTTCTTGGTTGAAATTAAGTTGTACCATACTKTGAGAACAATGATGGTGATTTGATGAAATAAGAAAGAGAAACAGGCAATACACAAAACGAAAATAACCAGCAGTAGAACAGTAGGCATTGTTTAACATAACCCTACAATTCTTTGTTGTTGTTTATTCTTTTGTCCCGATCAATAACAAGCTTCATTCTGACGGTAGTGGTCGACCATTCAAATGAACTGCTTTTAATATTGAAACAGAAAACAGGTGGAAAAAGGGTCGGGTTTCTAGATATTTCATATATTTGTACTTGCTGTAAAACATTATTTGTAAACCATCGATTTTGTTTTGCAGATGGATAAATTGGACTTATGGATTCAGAAAATCCCAGAAAAAACATGAATCTTTCCACATAGGCGAAGAAAAATAAGGTAAACATTKAGAGATATATTTGTCAAAGAAAAAAAATCCAGACACATAGACAATTAAAAGTTTTTTTTCGTCTGTATGTGGATTACATATAAACAGATTCATTTGTTTGTTTCATGATTATATCCTTTGTTTACTGTTTACTGGTAGTTACAATTGTTTCCCCGCGCCAATCGGTTAATAAAATGAGATTCCACTAGTGAAATAACAGCTATAAATACCACGATGCTGATTACACCATATAATTTGTAAGGCAACTTTCAACCGTATATATWATGGCAACCGCATTGAAATGCAAGAAGTTTTAAACAAAATAACAATCAAGCTCCGAGTATTAGAAAGGTGGCACATACCCGTTGTATAGCAAACTTATGACAGGTGATCACTCCCCCCCCCCATCTTTGATGTTGCCTGCATGTTCACAAAAAAGAAAAGAGAATTTTGATCCTCTCTAAGTTTTTTAAAGGTAAAATTGAGAGAGTGCGAAGAACCCTTTAAGATACGACTTCTAAAATRTTAAAATAGAATATGGTATAGAGTAACCTTTGACCTTTATTTCTCACATATGGTAATTATGCAGTAAAAATCGGTTACAATACCTTGTGGATCAGATTTCATATGCAAATGTCTTTGATGCTGTTGTTTTTCTAACGAGGAATATCTTTGGTTAATGGMCTTCTGGTAGGAGCAATGTTGGTTTCCGCCCATCAACTGGTGGAACTGATACCATCAGTCGAACCCCTACTAAGCAGTCACCTGGGGCAAAGACTACGTGACCGCTTAATAGAGGTTGACCGTTAAAGAGAGGTCATGTTTTACAGTAAATATATGTAAGAATCGACTTAATATGCTGAATCCATGAGTGACCGCTAAATGGAGGGTGACCGTTTATTAGAGGGTTTTTTAATAGAGTTCGACTGTAAATGTAAACCGTCGTGTTGCACACACAACCATTGTCAAATCTCAAGATTTTTATTACAAAGAGTATTATTTTCCTGTACGTAAAATGTACTTTTTTCTCGCTTTGTAATCATCTATTGTCCGTAATCCAGCCGTTTGGCTGCAATGGATTTTAATAAACTATCAATCTATCTTTTTTTTTAATTTTTACATACAACATATAGTTATTTACAATTAAGGAGGAGGACACCATAGGTGATCTCCTCTAGATTCTTTTATCATTGAAATATAACAGGCATAAACATAGCCTACTAATATAGCTATCAATCAATCTTATTTTAACAAATAATTTCTCGGGGTCTTGATTCCAAATTGACCTTTATTCAACTAACTCTCTCTAAAGCTTAACAATGATGAGGTCTATAAATATCATAACTGTCCTTAAGATTAAAATTTGTGAAGTAATTAGAAGATCTATAGGGATAACGTTATATTAAAATGCACAAAATGTATTGGAATTTTCCTCTTTAACAATTATTAGCGTTTTGAAAGTGGAAATTAAAATGTTTCAAGGGATACATCCTCAGTGCAAATAAAATTTTGGTACCATTCTTCATTGATGAGTGCTTAAATGCGCAATCTTGATATCAAGCTCCTCGTAGATCAAGATGGCGGGCGTATTAGTAATAATAAGCATTTTGGCCTATTAAAATTGTTAGTGGAAACTAGACCATCACATCACAATTAAATTACTCTATTTTTAAACAAACTACGAACAGACTGAAAAAAACAACTGTATGCGCAGATATCTCGTGTCGAATTATTGAGCTAACCAGCACTTGAAATAGCAGAATCTGCCAATAACCACTGATATAATACCAATTTAATTTATTGAAACTTTGATTTTATCTTTGCCACTAAGGCTCACCCTTTCGATGGAATTTTTAACCTTTTTTTCTAAATTAACCGATGTTCAATCAAGTGTTGTCGAAATGTTAATCAGAAACTTTGATTCTTGAGGATGCGACTGCTATTCTTTGAAAGTATGTGCAATAAGCCTCCATGATCTTATGCTTCGGGTAATCTGACTCGGTCGCGTTGTTGAGGTGACAAGTGCCATTGTTGTCCATGAAATTTATAGATTTGCATTTTTCTCCAAATTTAAGGCAGTGCTGAATACAGATAAAGACGTCCGCCATGTTGTTTTCAGAATGCATCACGTGATTCAATAAGCATTGGCCATCGGTTGACTGAAAAATTGCTGCTTGGTATAATTTTTCTGCATCTTACGAAAAAAATAAAAAATAAAAGAAAATCAATTCCGGTAAAGACAATCACCTCTCATTGCGCGCTAAAGCGCAGGATACCTATTTTAATAAAGATGGTCGGATTTAAAATTCGAGCTAGAATGGCAGTTGTCGACCGGACATGGATTTTACTAAATAATGGCAGGTGCTGAAGGAAACTGCTGAACTGAAGTAAAGTGCTGAAGAACAAATTTTCATTTTGTAAGATAAACTGTGATAAAATAGTGTATGCGGAATACACCTCTAAACGAGAGACGTATTTTATTATGTTTTATATATGTTAAAACAATTTTGTCACAGCAAACATATAATTCATAATATATCAAGCTCAATGGCTGGGAAAAGCTGAAGTATAGCAAGTGTAATTCGTCGAATCCATCAGTCTTTTTTCCTATTGGCAATTTTATCCGCGGAGTCACCCCACAATATTTTAAAACGAGAGAATTCGACACATTATATTAAACTATGGAGCTCATTTTCTTTTGAGGTAGTAGCGCTTTTTAACGAAGCTTATAAATAAAATTAAATAAAATTAGTTTTCACAAATAAGCATCAATTGTACCTACCATCTCTTTCCTGACATCTATTCATGATGGCCAATACTTGCTTTGGTGTCAATGCTTTATCGTAGAATTGAACACATGAAATACGTCCTTTGAAGTACCTAGAATCACCTACTTTGGCTCCTCCAATCCTAACCTAAGAATTGTAGAAATGAAGATGGTACAAAATGACATGGAAACCAATTACTTTATTCGAAGAAGTTGTTTCAAAACAATGTTGTAAAAGAAAAAAACGGAGAAGCTAGGAAGATCTTTTAGAATAAAAAAAGCTGATTAATTTGTTCAGTATAGATTCATTCAATTCAACATTTATTTTAAAAGGTAAATGTTGGACATGTCCTGTGAAGAAGAGCAACCAAGATTAATCATATATTCCAAGCGGATGAGCGGCCTTTTTGTTTCGATGATCGATATTTTCTATGGTACATGAAAAAATTGTATATTTTTGTCTGCTGTGCCTTGCAGTTCCTTCAATCAGAAGAAAATTGRGTCCTAACAAAATTTGTTGGTGCTAAGAAAGATTAAAGCTTTAAAAATGAAAAAAGGTTAAAGAAACTCACATTTTTCATGTGCGATTCTGTACTCCTGTACTYTGTTACTAACAAAACCGAAAGTAGAACATTTCACTCTAGATACCTTGTAATCTGTGGCAATCTCCTGTTTAGCTATGAAGCTTTCACGAACTTTAATTCCATCAACATACAGTCGTTGATTGCCAGTGTYGATATCATAGGTGAAACCGATGTGCCTCCATTTCTTTGTTGTCTTTAAATTATAATTCATATAGTCATTCTCTGCTAAGGTAGACCTCCTCATAACTCTAACAAACAAATCGTTTGGACCGCCATGACGATCATGAATATACACGTGGAAAGCAAATTGATTTGTCTGAGTGCAGTAGTTGATGATTGGCCCAGGAGGACCTTCGTTGTAGATCCAGGCGAAAATGGATATGGAGTACCTACGAATATATATTAAATATATTAAAAACGGTATTGTCAGGCTTAAAAAAAGTAAAACTGTCGAAGGATAGCCAATGTACATCCATCCATCCATCCAGAGTTTGTAAATAATATGTAAATACACTGTGAATTTGATTTACAGACAAACTATCCTCTTACACAGTTTGTAAATTTTATGTAAATATCTTGTAAATTTTTCTCGATCAAATATTGTAAATATCTTGTAAAATCAATTAATCGCAAATTTAAAAAAAATATACTTCTGTAAATTGAATAATTTGTATTAAATTTACAGATTCTGTAATTTGATCATCCTTTTCAGCATGTTCCAGCGTTCAAGACCATATTATATTACCAGTCATTGATTTAGAACGTGATCTGTAAATCTTTTTGCATCGTAATGGTATTGGTGTWTWTTTTATATTTTACCTTGTATCGAGCTTTGACTGTTTTGGAATATCAATATAGCTTGAAGCAGTTCCTGGAAAATAGTAGGATCCTCCTGGCTTACCGTACGGTCCCGGTGCAAGGGCAACATTAACAGCAACTCCAGCTGTTAGATAACTATTACTGATATCTTCCGTCTTGTGGAGTGAATTCAAAGGAAACAATCCAACTGGYTCGGGAAYTTCATCTAAGGCAWRAGGGTAWGTTTTTGTCAACTTTGACATAATGCAATTTCAAAAACAAATAGCTGGGTGCACAATCTATTCAGTTTTGTTAATCGGTTTCACTTGTACTATTGATTTTTAATATTATTTAAAAAGTGTAGACAAATCTTATCTATATAATCTATGTTAGTCGAACAGTTGTATTTCAGCAGGGTCTCGCGCATGACCGCGTGAAGAAATGGCGGCTTATTTGAACGCTCTCTAAATTTGATCTCTAGTTTTGCCCTTAYTTWKTATCYTTGTGTTCTTGTATCTCAACGTTGTCATGTCTGTGTCTGTGGAGGAACTTAAAGCAATTTTAGACTCTAAATTGAGTCCACTTCACAATGAAATCTCTCAACTGAAAGAAAGCTTACGAGAGACAACTCAATTTCTGGGAATAGCGAACGCGAAGTATGAAGAAGTCTCAAAAAAACTCGAGGCATTTGAAAGCCAAAAGTCCCATCTCGTTGCTTAGAATACAACATTAAAGAAAATTATTTAAGTAATGGAATCCAAGATTCAGCAGCTCCACAAGGAATCGAATGATGTTGGGCAATATACTAGACGAGATTGCCTGGAGATCCAAGGTATCCCTTTTGCTAAGAACGAGAGCACAAACGCAATAGTAAAGCAAGTTGGTGATCTGATGGATGTCTACATTAACGACGAAGATATCTCGATCAGCCACCGCATGCCTTCTGCTAAAAGCTATAAAGGTAAANTTCTCACCTAAAATCTCAACTCGAGCAAATTTCGACCTCACAGCCTCTTAGAACGATAAATTCCCTTTCCACACATACCAACTTCAAGTCATCAGATCTCTTTTCTAACCAGAAAATCCCCAGGGTAAAACAATTTGAAAAGCAAATTTTTCGTAGCCGTATGCTCAAATCAACGATCGGTACCCCCATAATCCTCATCGGTCATCGGTCGATAAAAGGCGCACGTCCATTGGTCGGACGACAACAATCCAACGGTACTAAAGATGTACTCACCGAGGGAGGACAGGTAAGCTTTTGCAAGAAATTGCAAACCGACCAATCGGACGTACGCCTTTCCATTGACCGTTGACCGATGAGGATTATGTTATAATGTTATTAATTATTGTTATAATTCTCGCCGTTTGTTGGCCACTTGTTTGGACGTAAGATAAAGAATCAATACACAAATATTTAGTTTCTTGGATTTGACTTGGATGAGAACTTGGTCACATTTTTTCACGTTTTCTTTTATTTTTGATCTCTACCAGGTAACTATCTCTTTTCAGGTATTAAACTTGTAGTACTTGTAAAGTCTGCACTTGAACTTGACATCTCTCACTCGAACGGCATGTGTTTTGAAAATTTCACACATCAAATCCTTTCAACTATCMATTCAAGTGAGCGTCATTCAACAAAATGACGTGTTTTTTTTTTGTTTCTTTTTTGTACTTTTTTTTCAGTTTCAGTTTTTTTCTTCTTCTTTAGTCTTCTTAAGGCTGAGAGTCGACCACTTTGTTAGCCTGAGTTCTGCTTTGCTTTGCTGGTTGCGACTTGACCTGGAACTTGAACATTTCTTCGGCAAACTTGACTCTTTTCATCTTGAAAACTTCGGCAAAACATCCTGGCAATCCTGTAAGTATCCTGGTCGCAGCGCCAAATGTGACCAAGTGAACTATTTCTTGATCGTTTTTTTAGGACGATTTGGATGGAAATTTTAAAATAACAAACACAAAAAGACAAATTCACTTTACAGGGTCTAGCCAACGTACTTGCCAGTACGCCGGCCAAAACAGAACTAACTTTATCACAGAGAGCCCAAGCTTTGTCTAGTTTTCGGTTTTGCGCGCGCAAGTGTCTCAGGATATCCTCGACGCAAATGGGTTTGGGCTGTTTTGGGGGGCACTTTTTGGATTTTTTTTTTTTGCCCGAAAAAGCGTTTGTATCAATGCCTCTTGTCCAAAATAAGGTGAAAAACGTTGATTTACATCTGCTTTCTCAGATAAATATTCGTTTTGATTTAATTTCGGAGCGAAAAAAGTTTTTTTTTAGGAGAATTTCGAGCGGAGTCTCCTCCCTTGCCACTATATATATATAGGGAGGGGAAATTTTTTAAAACCCCCATTTATAATGCATTGTGACGCTGAATAAAATAAAATCAGACTATTTTTTAGGTAAAATTTTATTTTTTCTATTATAGGTTCAAAGTCACTGCTTGGGCTCCCTGTGACTTTATTTCAAACCGACTGGCGCATTGTGCGATCGCTCACGCCACACTACATGTCACGCAATGCACGTAACTTGCAGTATTTTTAAATCACATTAATTATTCGTGAAAAGCTGTGACTGAGCTTCATGCACGGCGCTCCAGCTTAAATCCTTTGTGTGACTACTGAGGCAAAATTAGCAGGTGTTATGATGTTTTTAAATCACCTTTAAATCTCTGTAAAATTAATATTCTCTTATATCCTTGAATTACATGTAAACGCCTAAACTGCTGTATGGTCATTAATTTTAATGGCGATTCTGCATAGGCCCCTTCCAAATATTTCCACCATATTGTCTTAGAAACATTTTGTTTAATAATTTTTACATGTCAGCGAGCCTACTAAAGATCTGTGAAGTTCTATCTATATTTTAGGGCTTGGCAGTCCGAGGGGATATGCCAGGGCACCTGTTTATCTTATCATTCAGATATTTTCAGCTCACCTTCGCATCTTGCAATGTTAATAGCCAATACMACGATCAACTACAAAACAGAAATAGAGGATGTTACATGGGCGCACGGAGATACGGATTTTATCTTCACTAYGCTCACTCGTGAGATATTCATATCACGAGAAGATTTAATATTCTGATGTAGCATTCTATTTATCATATAATWTCATGCATATGAAAGCATATTATGTTGTAAAATACCTTTTTGTTTCTTCAAATACATAGAGAAACCTCGAATGTGTTCTTTTAACTAGTGAAAATAACAACTTTTCGAAAGAGGGAAATATAGGTATTTTATAGATAATCATATGATAAGGATATTTGTTTTACCAATTTGTTTTAATCGTGACAATATTGTTTTTCCTATCGTATCAACTCATTATATTGCCGCGTATTGTTTTAAATAATTCAGTACTTCAACTTTGTTTATGGAACTTATTGAAAAAAGCAGTTTTTTCGAATCTTGAACGTTTTAGAAAATCTTATCTGCTATTTTGCTGTGGCGTATATGTTGTATCGCACGAGGATTAAAATTATCGTCTACTTTGATTGATTTGAGCATCTACTAACTAAAAGAGTCGGGAATGTACTTATATCAGCTTACATCGCAAAAACCACTGCTGTTTTATTGGGTTAATCTAAAGCTTTAGTCTTTGATGAATTGTATGTTTTAAAGTTCGGTTAAAAAAAGTTTTCATTTTAAATTTGATTTTTTGTCGATAAGTTTGTGACTGTTTAAATTTACACTTCTTGCAGAATCGAAACACAATTATTACTGCTAAGAACGTTGAAAATATCAACGGTAATAAGAGTTCAATACAAAGTAAATTCTAAATTTCTCTATGTTGTTATTTAATTTCTCAGATACTTATGGTCTTCTAGCTTGACAGAAAAAGACTGTCTGAGTATAACATATCAAAAATAGCCATTCTCATTTGTAATTACCTGAAGTTGACGAATACCAAACCGACTAAACACTCTTTTTCCTTCCATAACCAACCG